TGCTGAGAGGTGCAGGATGAATTTTGACTTTTATGACCGTTCTCCCAGATAAGGGTTCTTAGCTGTCTTGGATGGCAGATCAAAGAAGCATCTGCTTTTCTTCAAACACTTTTGGAGTGATCAGCAGGGCAATGAATTCTAAATAGTTCTCTGCTATTTTACTCAAATGGTTGGCTTTATAAGTTTTTATTTTATGTTAGTTAGCAAAACAAGCCTTTTATTTATTAGTCTGTTAGTTTCTTTTAAACTATATGATTCGCTGCTTTTATTCTCTAAAATCTTATATTCTAAAAACTCACAAAATACATATATATATCATAAAATTAACTCAGCACACTCGTATTAAGGTGAAGGGGGATTGGTGTAATTACTCAACTTAGCCCCCATCCCTCCCCTTTCCTTCTTATTGTTTATCCTATAGGATGGTTGCAGTTTCTGTACAAACTGCTCCCAAAAAGCAACCGAGCAGTCCAAGTTTGATTAACAAACTAAGAGTTGTCCATTACAGTAAAGAACTTTTAAAGTTTAGCTACAGACTCACAGTGGTAATGTGAGATAACTTTTTGGTATTTTTTTCAACGTTCTCGAATGCTGGAACAAATTCTCAAGTAAGAGTTAATGTATTTTAAAAAATAAATATATTTCCTAGTTCTTTAAGTATTTTAAATAAACATGGAGGATTTGTACTTTACTCACAAATAAAGAACTCCTCATGTATTTCAGTATGTTGAAATGAGATTTATTCTTTTATATGGTCTGATTGAGTGCTAATGGTAATAATCCCTTCCCTTGTCTCTTTTTGTATGTCTGGGTGACAACACTGTCTGAAAACATGGCATTTGCTGAATTCTGACTCAGCATCCCTGACCCTCTGTTGAGACAGAGAGCAAAAACTAAATGTGATTTTTGGGCTCATTGTATAGCAAATCACTGGCATCCTGAATCACCATAGCTGTTACTGGAATTACTGTTGGGAAACAACTGCCTTCTGGTACTGAGTTGGACATATTTCTGACCCAGTCCTTATGCTGTAAGGAAAGGTTGATTTTGAATTTGGAAACTGGAGGAGTCCATTTACTTCTCTATTCACTTTCTCCACAGGATGTTGCTCTATTTCTGCAGGAGTTCAACGCCCCTGATATATTCATGGGAGTTTTTGCCAAGTCAAAGTGCCCTCGCCTTACTGTAAGTATGGGCTGTCAAAAAGCTCTCCCACTGTAATAGTAGACAGCTCTGTACATGCATTTGCACATTTCTCCCTCCTCTCTCCCTTGCATGATTGAATACGTTAGAGGAACATCTTCACACCTAAATATCTGAATAGTACACATCACAAGTCTATTTTAGGCTAGTCTAATAGAAAATCCTGTAGAAATGTCTGTATCTGTCTCTTGAAATTACTGGGTCATAAGAATGTGGGAATCAAACTAGAAAATACCTTTGAACCTTTCTTAGTTCTGTTTTATAGCCATGCAAATAAATTTGTGAACTGTGTTGCAGTTGCCTCATCATACTGTATTTTGACTTTTCAGGAAATCTGTGTGGGAATATTGGGAAATATGGCCTGTTTCCAAGACATATGCATGTCCATTAGTAAAGATGAGAATCTTGGGTAAGTGTACGTGCTCTTTATATGTGCAAGAGTGCTGCTTTTCTGGACTCACAATCATCAAACAACTAAGAACTAAGAAGAACTAAGTTTGCCTGCCATGCCTCATCTTCTTTCACACCTTTTTTGCTGACCATATTTGTGTGGGATGCATTCAGTGAAGGAAAAAAGATAGGTACAGACCACTATATTTTAATGTTTTTAATCACCAGTCAAGTTCTTGAATCTTTTAATTTTTAAGTTTGGCAATCTTGGAACACTGTAAATGCACAGTCAGGAGAAGCTGTTTTTAATCTTAGGACATGGCTGCAGCTATGAAATTAACCTTTTTACGTAACTTCTTTTAAAACAAAGATAGATTTTTATTAATTATTATCTTACATTTTCTTCTTAAAGCCAAGTGTTACTGCAACGTTTGTGTGATTCAGACTCTCCAACTCTTCTGGAAACAAGCAGGTAAGATGTCTCAGAAATTAATGTATCATTAGTGTAATTCTGAGATGTTTCTGGGAAGAATATTTACAAGGGGGCTCACTGTGTTATCCTTTCATCCTGTCCTTTTATGATTTCCACATCGTTCTGGACACAGTTTGCTGTGAGCCATATTCCTGGTTCTGACACATCATTCTCATTATTTTGGATTTACACTAGTAGAGCTCAAATGAATGAATTGGCTTCTAATTTGTTAAATGGGCAATTTTTGTCTAGGTTGTTGCTAACTTGCCTCTCCCAGCCTGAGGTGGCCAACGTCTGGGTGGAGAGGATCCGAGAAAACCCTTCTGTGTATGACTGTGTGTGCTTTATCATGTCCAGCTCTACAAATGGTAAGTTCCCAAATCAAGCTGCAAATTAGGATTTGCAGGGAAAAAAAAAAAAAGTAGTGGTGTATGCAATTTCAAAGACAAATATTTTCAATTGGAAGTACAGAATTTCTTTAAAATGAAGTAAAAAGGGACACCAAAATAAATTTGTCCTACCTTTGCAGGTTTATAAGTATATATAAAGCCAATGAGAAGAGCACCCACAGAGGAATAAAAAAGATCTGGAATCAAAATAAGTCTAATAGAAAGGATTGTTATTTGAGACAGTAGGGGAAAGGACATAACACACATAGTAAAGGAAAGGCACAGTAAAGGAAAGGACGTTCAGGGATGTACATGTGTAATTTTTGATGCTTGAAAGAAGACCTCATTTAATTTTTTTTTCAAATCAGATATGTGGTTTCTGTTTTTAAAACTATCATACTTGTGGAATGTGAACTCGAGGAATGATTTAGTTGCTCTGAGTGGCAGTGGGAGTACTGCACAGCTTTGGGCACGTAGGCAGCAGCACACAAATCTCTGATACCTCTAATAGAGCAGGAAACACACCAAGCACCTAATAATGGAAATATTTTGAGTGGCATTTATGTTTTACATCCAACATAGTTGTAACAGCAGTTATCATCTATCTAGGAATCTTTATAATTTATCTTTTAAAATTTGAATGTTAGGGGCTTTTTAATAACAGTGCTCAGAAATCCTGCTCCATCCAAGTGAAATTACAGATCTGCTTAAGTAAAATGTGGATTGGCCAGGGTAAGGTTAGAAGGAAACTGTGTATTTAAGGAAAATCTTGGGAAGTTTTACTTGAGAAGCAGAAGTTATGGCTTTTGGGAATGTGAATTCTCTTTGCAGAACGAGGTTCCTGCTTCGTAAGTGCTGTGATAGGTAGAAGGTGACAGTGGGGTTTTGTAGAATCCCTGTTTATCAGGCTCTTCACCTGACTGGAGCCACAAAAAGGAGTTAAACATAGCAACTGTTTGTAGGTTGTGAACAAAACTAACACATTTCAGCACTGAATTGGCTCTGAATGCTTTTATATGTTAACAGTTTGTAAGCTAATTTTTGCTCTTAGTTTTCAGCCTTGCTGAAATTTATACGTTCTCTCTTGTGCAGTTGAATTGCTGGTGAAGGTGGGTGAAGTGGTGGACAAACTGTTTGACCTAGATGAAGAGTTGATGTTGAGCTGGATTAAAAACGGCACCTGTCGGTCTGTGGGACCCTCTGGAGACGAGTCCCCCGAAGAACTTCCGGATTTTAAGATTGTGCCTTGCATACTTGAAGCAGCCAAACAAGTCCGGTATGTGGGATTTCTTTTTGGTTTCATGGCTCAGGAGTCTCCTCACAGCGTTGTTAAGGCCTGTGTCTGAACACCCTGGTTTCA